GAATTTTGTTGATTCCCCAGAGCCCTATTTGCAAACAGTGTTCCAATGCTATTTTTCTTGGAAATTTGCCACAAACAAACTTATAATTTTTCAAAGAGCTCCATCAAAGAAGAAAGGGGGGGAAAAAATTAAAAAATGAAAACCTTTTCATTTCTGATTTTGTCAAAAAAAGAAGTGATTAATTTTCTGGTAAAAAAGTGACAATTTGCTTGCAAAAATTCATTATGAAAAATGTTGATCATCTCTATTTCTTATCTTGAGGGATCAGAGTCACGAAAGGAAGCTCCCATATTCCAGGTTAATCTCCGCCCTGAGAAGCAAGGATAGGGGGACGGTTTCCCATCGCAGAGCTGTCTGGGGCCATGTTTACAATATGGACTTCTGCTGGCATAGCTCTATCTGTATGGGGTGTGAAGAAGTTTGATTCCTTACGACATAGCTGCGCTGGCAAAAGTCATAAAATCATAGAAGATTAGGGTTGGAAGAGACCTCAGAAGGTCATCTAGTCCAACCCCCTACTCAAAGCTGGACCAATCCCCAGTTAAATCATCCCAGCCAGGGCTTTGTCAAGCCGGGCCTTAAGAACCTCTAAGGATGGAGATTCCACCACCTCCCTAGGGAACCCAGTCCAGTGCTTCACCACCCTCCTAGTGAAATAGTGTTTCCTAATATCCAACCTAGACCTCTCCCACTGCAACTTGAGACCATTCCTCCTTGTTCTGTCGTCTGCCATCAATGAGAATAGCCGAGCTCCATCCTCTTTGGAACCCCCATGCAGGTAAATGAAGGCTGCTATCAAATCCCCCCTCACTCTTCTCTTCTGCAGACTAAACAAGCCCAGTTCCCTCAGCCTCTCCTCATAAATCCCCTGCCCCAGCCCCCTAATCATTTTCATTGCTCTCCGCTGTAGTCTCTCAAATTTGCCTACATCCTTTCTGTAGTGGGGGCCCCAAAACTGGACGCAATACTCCAGATGTGGCCTCACCAGTGCTGAATAGAGGGGAATAATCACTTCCCTCAATCTGCTGGCAATGCTCCTACTAATGCAGCCCAAGATCCTGTCAGCCTTCTTGGCAACAAGGGCACACTGCTGACTCATAGCCAGCTTCTCATCCACTGCAATCCCCAGGTCCTTTTCTGCAGAACTGCTACTTAGCCAGTCAGTCCCCAGGCAGTAGCGGTGCATGGGATTCTTCCGTCCTAAGTGCAGGACTCTGCACTGGTCCTTGTTGAACCTCATCAGATTTCTTTTGGCACAATCCTCCAATTTGTCTAGGTCCCTCTGGACCCTATCCCTACCCTCCAGCATATCTACCTCTCCCCGCACCTTCGTGTCATCTCTGAACTTGCGGAGGGTGCAATCCATCCCATCATCCAGATCATTAATAAAGACATTGAACAAAACAGGCCCCAGGACCGGCCCCTGGGACACTCTGCTTGATACCGGCTGCCAACTAGACATCCAACCGTTGATCACTACCCGTTGAGCCCGACTATCTAGCCAGCTTTCTATCCACCTTATAGTCCATTCATCCAATCCGTACCTCTTTAACCTGCTAGCAAGAATACTGTGGGAGACCGTAGCAAAAGCTTTGCTAAAGTCAAGATATGTCATGTCCACTGCTTTCCCCATATCCACAGAGCCAGTTATCTCATCATAGAAGGCAATCAGGTTGGTCAGGCCTGACTATTGTAACTGCAGTTATAACCAGCAAAACTGCTTTTGCTGGTATTGCTGGGCCTGGTGTACACTTCAGTGTTCGGCCAGTGTCTCTATATCAGCTAGCAGTGTGAAAAACGCTATGATGAAAAATCCCCAGGATAGAGGCAACTAGACCGACAGAAGGGTGAGTCTCTCAGCTTACTGAACATCAAGTGGGGAGGTGGTCTTATTATGTCGGAACAAGTCCTTAAGTCAGCATATGCAGCCTGTCCTCTAGGGACTATGCAGGCATATGCTCTGTAGTGTAGACATGGCCTCATTTCCCTTTCGAGGAGAATATGCCATACCAGCAAAAGCACACGAGTGTACTGGTAGAACTGTACTGGCAAAGTGCTCCTAGTGTAGAACTGGCTGGTAAGGCTTTTGCTATTGTGAGGAATCAACTTCATTGAAATGATATTGGAGAAGGGCGTTTCTTGATCCTACTCTCACTATTTCCTTCCGAATGCCTCTTCTTATTTACAATGTCACCTGAAAGTGAGAAGCGGGCAGCATTATCTCCTGTAAATGAAAACAAACTTCTTTGTCTTACAAATTGTCTGAACAAGAAGTAGGATTGAGTGGAATTGTAGGCTCGAAAGTTTTACATGGTTTTGTTTTTGAGTGCAGTTATTTTAAAATAAAATCTACCTTTGAAAGTTTCACTTTCACATGAAAGAGATTGCATTACAGTACTTGTATGAGGTGAATTGAAAAATACTATTTCTTTAGATTGGAAGGACAGAACAGGTCGGACTGGTGGGGGAGTGGCACTAGAGGTGAAAAAAACCAGAGTCAAATGAAATAAAAATCTTAAATGAACCAAACTGTACCATAGAATCTCTATGGATAGTAATTTCATAGACAACCCACCACCTGACCAGGATGGTGATAGTGACTGTGAAATGCTCAGAGAGATTAGAGAGGCTATAAAACAAAACAAAACAAAAAAACAACTCAATAATGATGGGGGATTTCAACAATCCCCATATTGACTGGGTACATGTCATCTTAGGACAGGATGAAGATATACAGTTTCTTGACACCTTAAATGACTGCTTCTTGGAGAAGCTAGTCCTGGGACCCCCAAGAGGAGAGGCAATCTTTGATTTAGTACTAGGTGGATCACAGGATCTGGTCCAAGAAGTGAATATAGCTGGATTGCTTGGTAATCGTGAGCATAATATAATTCAATTTAACATTCCTCGGGTGGGAGAAAAACCACAGCAGCCCGCCATAGCTGCATTTAATTTCAGAAAGGGGAACAACACCAAAATGAGGAAGTCAATTAAACAGAAATTAAAAGGTACAGTGCCAAATGTGAAATCCCCCCAAGCTGCATGGAAACTTTGTAAAGACACCATAATGCAGGCTCAACTTCAATGTATCCCCCAAATTAAAAAACATAATTAGAGAATTCCTAAAAGTGCCACCATGGCTAAACAAAGTCAAAGAAGCACTGAGAGGCAAAAGGCATCCTTTAAAAAGTGGAAGTTAAATACTACAGAGGAAAATGGAAAGGAGAATAAACTCTGGCAAGTGAAATGTAAAAATACAATTAGGAAGGTCAAAAAAGAATTTGAAGAACAACTAGCAAAAGAGTCAAAAAGTAATAGCCAAATGTTTTGAAGTAGATCAGAAGCAGGAAGCCTGCTAAACAACCAGTGGTGCCACTGGACGATTGAGATGCTAAAGGAGCACTCAAGGACGATAAAGCCATTGCGGAGAAACTAAATAAATTCTTTGTGTCGGTCTTCACGGCTGAGGATGTGAGGGAGATTCCCAAACCAGAGCCATTCTTTTTAGGTGACAAATCTGAGGAACTGTCCCAGATTGAGGTATCATTAGAGGAGCTTTTGGAACAGATTGAAAAATTAAAGAGTAATAAGTCCCCAGGACCAGATGGCATTCACTCAAGTGTTCTCTTGGAACTCAAATGTGAAATTGCAGAACTACTAAGTGTGGTACGTAACCTCTCATTTCAATCACCTTCTGTACCAGATGACTGGAGGATAGCTAATGTGACACCAATTTTTAAAAAAGACTCAAGAGATGATCCTGGTAATTATACACAGAGACCATGATCAATACCTCCTCCCACCCCACTCTCCTGCTGGTAATAGCTTATCTAAAGTGATCACTCTCCTTACAATGTGTATGATAATCAAGTTGGGCCTTTTCCAGCACAAATCTAGGTTTTCTCACCCTCCGCGCCCCCCCCCCCCCCCACACACACAAACTCACTCTCCTGCTGGTAATAGCCCATCCAAAGTGACCACTCTCTTTACAATGTGCATGAAAATCAAGGTGGGCCATCTCCAGCACAAATCCAGGCCCTCTCCCCCCAAAAACACACACACACAAACTCACTCTCCTGCTGGCAATAGCTCATCCAAACTGACCACTCTCCTTACAATGTGTTTGATAATCAAGGTGGGCCATTTCCAGCATAAATCCAAGTTTAAACAGAACGTCTGGGGGGGGGGGGGTAGGAAAAAACAAGGGGAAATAGGCTACCTTGCATAATGACTTAGCCACTCCCAGTCTCTATTTAAGCCTAAATTAATAGTATCCAATTTGCAAATGAATTCCAATTCAGCAGTTTCATTTGTGCTGGAAATGGCCCACCTTGATTATCATGCACATTGTAGGGAGAGTGGTCACTTTGGATAAGCTATTACCAGCAGGAGAGTGAGTTTGTGTGTGTGTGTTTTTGGGGGGTGGAGGGGGAAGGGCCTGGATTTGTGCTGGAGATGGCCCACCTTGATTTTCATGCACATTGTGAGGAGAGTGGTCGCTTTGGATAAGCTGTTGCCAGCAGGAGAGTGAGTTTGTGTATGTGGTTTTTGGAGGGGGAGGGGGTGAGAAAACCTGGATTTGTGCTGGAGATGGCCTACCTTGATTATTATACACATTGTAAAGAGAGTGGCCACTTTGGATGGGCTATTACCAGCAGGAGAGTGAGTTTGGGGCGGGGCGCGGAGGGTGAGAAAACCTGGATTTGTGCTGGAAATGGCCCAACTTGATGATCATACACATTGTAAGGAGAGTGATCACTTTAGATAAGCTATTACCAGCAGGAGAGTGGGGTGGGAGGAGGTATTGTTTCATGGTCTCTGTGTATATAATGTCTTCTGCAGTTTCCACAGTATGCATCCGATGAAGTGAGCTGTAGCTCACGAAAGCTTATGCTCAAATACATTGGTTAGTCTCTAAGGTGCCACAAGTACTCCTTTTCTTTTTGCGAATACAGACTAACACGGCTGTTACTCTGAAACCAATTTTTAAAAAAGACTCAAGAGGTGATCCCAGTAATTCCAGGCTGGTGAGCCTAGCTTGAGTGCCGGGCAAGCTGCTTGAAACTATAGTAAAGAACAGAATTACCACACACCTAGATGAACACAATTTGTTGGGGGAAGAGTCAACGTGGTTTTTGTAAAGAGCAATCATGCCTTACCCATCTACTAGAATTCTTTGAGGGGGGTCAACAAGCCCGTGGACAAGGGGGAATCCAGTGGATATAGTGTACTTAGATTTCCAGAAAGTCTTTGACAAGCTCCCTCTTCGAAGGTTCTTAAGCAAAGTAAGATGTCATGGGACAAGAGGGAAGGTCCTCTCATGGATCAGCAACTGGTTAAAAGATAGGAAACAAAGGGCAGGAATAAATGGTCAATTTTCAGTCAAGAGTGGTATCCTGCAGGGATGTTTACTTGGACCAGTACTACTCACCATATTCATAAACAATCTGGAAAAAGGGATAAACAGTGAGGTGGCAAAATTTGCAGATGATAAATATCTTGAGCAGTTTTGTAAGTCCAAAGCAGACTGCGAAGAGTTACAAAGGGATCTCCCAAAAACTGGGTGACTGGGCAACAAAATGGCAGGTGAACTTCATTGTTGATAAATGCAAAGTAATGCGCATGGGAAAATAAAATCCCAACTATAATATAAAAGGATAGGATCTAAATTAGCTGTTTCCGCTCAAGAAAGATTTTTTTTTCCAATGAAAATTATGAAAAATAGAACTAAAAATGTTTTGAATTTTGTTGATTCCCCAGAGTCGTATTTGCAAATAGAGTTCCTGTAGGATTCATACAAGGTTCATGCGCTTGGCAACATTCAGGGCACACCGGGCGTGTTGTATAGGAGCTGTGCACAAACAGCTCCTCTCAAGGGCATGAACCTTGGAATCTCGCCCAGATGACATGAACCGTGGGAAGCCTCCCAGGACTGGCTCAAGGCCTGAGAGCAAGGAATGTGGTAGATAGAAATTGGTAAATAAGAATGTTAAACAAAGCCAGTGTATTCCTTTTATCTGTTGGAGAATGTAATGCGTGGGGGGAGAGAAAAGAATAAAGGAGAGGGTGGAAAGCTGACAGGCAGAAGTCCGATGGCAGACCAGCCTGTTTGCTTGCTTAAAGCTCTGTGCTGTCTTGTATTTGAACCGCAACAACTGGCTCCAAAACGTGGGGCCCTCAGCACTCACCACGCCCGGCAAGGTTTTCAGACGCGTCACTCATCCGTTTCGCGGATCCCAGTGAGTATTTTTCATTGTGGTAAGTATGGGAAGCTCCCTCTCTGCTTTGCAAGTGCAACATCGCAATGAGCTACAGTATTTGCTGCGTAAGGCTCAGTATGACTGCCCCACTCGAGAACTCACTCTCCTGCTACAGGAGGTGAGTGCCCAATGCCCGTGGTACCCTGAAGCCGGAACCCTTAAGCTAGCGGACTGGGAGCGGTTGGGCCAGACAAAGAGCACAAAGAGCCTCGGGCGCCCGTGCAGGCTTTACATGCCTGGCACCTCTGCCGCGACGCGATACAGCGTGTCGCCTCGGAGAGGCCCTCCCTCGTGGGGCTGGTGCTCTCGCCACTCCCGTCCGCTCCTGCAGCCATCCCCCTTCCTGGCGATGCGACACAGCGTGTCGCCTCGGAAAGGCCCTCTCCAGCCCCAACAGAGGGGCTGCCGATCCCGCCACCTGCTGGAGTCTTCAATGAGTGTCTTTGTTGCTTGCAGCATAGGTGGGAGCAGGAGAAAGCCAAGCATGGGGCCCCTGTGTCATGAGTCCCCAGCCAAGGTTGAGCAATTCCCTTGGTGTGGCCTCATGCAGGTGAGTCATTGCATTGTAGCTCCCTTGCTGGACAATGGTTAGTGATGTCTGTTCAACAGCACCCACCCCGGTGTTGGTTACCTCCCTTGTCATTGTCTCTGTGTAGCTAGTATCTGGGTGCCTCCCAAACCCACAGCATATTTTAGTGAAAACCATACAACACAATTCTTATCATTTCATATGCATTGGTGCTGCACATGTTTAGATAGAACAATGTCTTTCAGCAGATCATAACCTTTCCCCGATACCTTACCAGGCATGCTTTATATGCAAGATCACAGTTATCTAAAAATGAGGAATATGGGGGTTACAGGATGCTCCCCCAAGGTATAGAGTGTCACACCCATGTTTCAAAATCTGGAGTTTCAGGTGTTGCTTTATAACCTGGTGGGACGGTCAAGATCAATCTATAGCTGCCATTCTCCTCGTCTCCGTCCCTTGCCCAAAGGGAAGCAGCGCTGGGCCCGTACAAATGCTGGTGGTAACAATGAAAGTAATGATAGGAGTAACATACTCTCTATTATAATGACAGGTTTCAGAGGAACAGCCGTGTTAGTCTGTATTCGCAAAAAGAAAAGGAGTACTTGTGGCACCTTAGAGACTAACCAATTTATTTGAGCATGAGCTTTCGTGAGCTACAGCTCACTTCATCAGATGTTTACCGTGGAAACTGCAGCAGACTTTATGATGATTCTCTCTCAGAAATAGGATTGGATATGTCTGTGCTTTCCTCTTTGCCCAAAGGTGAACTTTTAGCATTCCCTGTAGCTGAGTTTGGATTGTTTGAGTGAGCAGAAAGGAGGATAAAAGGTTCTCCTCACTTATTAAGAAAATTCTTTACATCTATTATTGTGTTTAGATAGATTAAAAGCCACTTTTGTCCAAATCTCAGATTCGGTGTGTACAGATTCGGTTCTAAGAAGTTTGTGTGCCGGAGAAATAGAGAGGCCCTCACTGACTGACGTTAGCTTACTGTGCCGTTTCCCTTACACATTTAGGCCAACAGGAGGAAAAGTTGTCACTCATTTAGGGGGTCTCACAGTTGAGGGTTTCAAGTACAGATGCCTGGGGCTCGATTTCAAAAGGTGCTAAACACCCTGGGCTACACCAGAAGTCAGTAGCAGCTCTGGGACAGCAACAAAGTTTGCCATGACACAAGCACCTCAGCTGCTTCTGCCAGGGATAGGAGCTAACCACCCTCATTCCAATGTCACAGGAAGTCAATGGAAAAAAATAACTTTCTTGTTTTTTTTCTCTCTAAAGGGTTTAATGGGGCGATGATCTGTGGTGAGTATCTCAAGTTCTCTCTCTTTGAGAATCTCTTGCGTTATCTTGGCAGCTCTCATAATGGGAATGGAGACTGGAGCCATTTGAGTTAAAGGAGGCACCCTCAGTATATTTCATGGTACAACCTCAGTGAAAGGAAAAAAAGTGCCCCCCGCTCTTGCTGCTGCCCACCAGCCCTGACACAGAAGGGTCCCCCACCCAGCGGCATCTGCCAATGGCATGAAACTGTTTGTTTCAGCTGCTGCCTTTAGTCCATGCCAAGGAGTAACAACTAGCGAGCAGAAACAAAGCTTTTCCTTTTCATTTCGGAGGTATTATTTTCCTGCTTGTCTGGTAGTTAGAGAGAGGATGGGGGAGTGACAGGCTCAAATGTATGTTAACAGAGAACACCACCAGCACAATTCATAGGTTCACACATTTTAAGGCCAGAAGGGACCGTTCTCTTCAGCTAGTCTGACCTCCTGCAGAACACAGTCCAGGGAATTTCATCCAGTCCTTCCTGCAACTAGCCCATGATTTCTAGGTGAGCTAGGGCACACCCCAAAGAAAGATATCCTGGCAGAAGCCTCACCAGCGCCTCCATGTGTTAAGACTGTAAGTTGCAAGATTTCTTCCCCTTTCCTCCTGTCACCCTCTCCATTGAATGCAATGCTGGGAAGTGCAATGCTGTCTCATTGACACAGCATTCCCGTGGCAGACAGAATAAACTCTGTGTGGGTAAATACTGACACAGTGGCAGGGATTTGACGAGTGTGTGATAACCAGCGCATAAATCCCAGTGGCAGCTCAAATCCCCAAAAGAAAGTTTTAATTTCTAAAATTACCCTTCCCTTTAACAAATCCAAGAGCTCAGTTCCAGCCCTCCCAAATCTCCCCTGGCCCTCTCCTCCTTCATTTCCCCATCCAGTGCCATCAATCGCAGTTTGTAAAGGGCACTGCTGTACAATGCACAATACTGGAAGTGGAATGCTGGCGGTCGCACACAGCTGTAGGGGACTAGAAAGGGACTAAACTCCTCCAGGGAGTGCGGGAAGGTTCTTGTCTGATTCCCTGTGGGTTACTGGGACCATAATGACCATTTGCCATCTCTCCCCAGGACTAAGAATTATGAATTACTAACTCAAACGCTGGCGAAACCGGATTGGCTGACTTCGATGATGACACCTGCCATTACGCTCCCCGTGCTGCTGCCTCACAACTCTTCCACCAATCAAATGCTGACTGAAAATCATGAATCCTACTGAATGGGCCTCTAGCTGATTACTGTGACAGTCCTTGATTTTTATGCTTTTTGACGTAACAGGGAGCGGAGGGACACTGAGCTCTGTCCCGCAGTTGCCCTGGGGGATTGCGAGAGCTTTGCAAAAATTAAAATAAATACAAACGCACAAAAAAAGTTCAGTAACTGTTGTTTTTTTTACATTTTAGTAAATTAAATTTCCTTCCAGGCTGGGATAGGATTCGCTCCTCTGTAAACGCTGACACGACTGTGAGTCATTTCTAAACTCTTTGTAGGCAATGATTACTGTATGGGGGGTGGGGGAAGACACTGTTCTCCAGTATTCCTCTCTCTCCCTCAGTGGTGAAACCAGGGAAGCAGCAGCACTGGGAAAAATGAATAATGGAGTGGCTCACAAATCCAGAAGAGCAGGAGGGAAGAGTATCCGTTAACTGAGCTACAGAACTACACTACCAGGGCTAGAGAACATGTGGCAAGTTTTCCTTTCAGGGTAGATGCTCCAGCACATAATCCTCAAAAATCTAGAGGTGCCTCCTTGCACTCCATAAAACGATCCCTTTCCAGAACAGTTACGCTCTTTTGGCTTGAACGCCGGACAAGAAACCACTCCCATTAAAACCACCCATAAACTGCACCTCAGTCTTGCTTCTTCAAAGGACACAGATTACAGATAAATTCATGAGAAGGTTTAATTTGTTCTTAATTATTTTGGGCTTCAGCCCCTTCCACTGGCTTCTCAGCCTCATCCAGCCCAGCTCCCTACATCCGGACTGTCACCTTCTATCCTTCATGTGAGACACAAAATCTCTTCCCCAAAAGATATTGGGGCTGGGATTTGCAAAGAATCCTAATTTCCTTCGGTCTGTCTGAAAATCCCAACCTAGGGCAACAGAGCAATATTTTGCAAAGCAGATGGGAGCAGGGCTGCTCTTTTTGCTCATTCCACTAACATGTTAAATGCTGCTGGAAATGAAAGTGGCAACTCTTCCTGAACCCCTCTCCACGTTCTTATGACTCGACTGGATTGTGACACAGAAGCAGCCACTTCCAAACAACCTGTTAGGAAGCTGTCAAAGCTCTGATCCAGTGCCCCACCAGACTGCTGTGAGGGGACCCAGACACTGGTTTCCATGTCTTTCAAGCCTCCAGAGTCTGAATAGACATGAGCCCAGACACTGGCTCTGTCTTGGGGTCCTTATGCACACTCCCAGGGTGCTGATCTATCTAGCACCCCCTCCTGAGAGTTGCAGCCAGGGGGTCCAACCACCCAGTTGCTAGAATCAGTGCTGATTCCTCTGACTCTCCTGTAGCTTAAACTCACCCTCCTCCAGAATCCCACTGAAGATAGGAGCCTTCCAGTTTAACTCTCCCAGGGGGCCCATGATGAGGTGAAACACGTAACATGGAGAGAGACACTTTGCATAGGATTCTCAAATACTATTGCACTTTACTTAAGCACAAGAAATACACAGAGAGAGCAGCTCATATCTAAACCCACAAACATCCTAAACACATTGCCCCTCACTCTGGCTCACCCTTCCCTTGGGAATGCTTTCAGAACCATCCGACTTCAGGTAGGCAGGGTTCCCCTGCCTCATCAGGCTCCTGCATCACTTCCCCTCGGTTTGAACTGGTGACAACAGCCAAAGACCCCAAATAGATCAACTCCTGCCTTCCTAATCTTCCCATCCCCGTCAGGTGACTCTTGGATCTGTTTCCTCAGGCAATTTCATTGCCAGTGGACCACTCCCCTGACAAACTGATCCCCCAAGTTGGGAGCCAGTCTTTATTTCAATAGGGGACCATCCCAATTTAATGACCCTCTACTGTCAGTGCTGTATCATTACACCTTGGACTTTCAGTCTACCATGGAGACAAGATCACAGAGAAGACCCCCACACACACACACACATTCAAAATGGAGTTTGCAATCTAATAAAGATACAGATGGACAGTTCATAAGCTCACACAGAATTCATGAACTGCATGGGCAGATTCCCAAATCATCAAGAAGCCATGCGAAAAATGTGCCTACAAAGGCTAGAGTCCACTATCAAATCTTAAAAAAAATGAAGGTGTAACCCATACCTCCCCTGGGTGGCTGTGTGCCGTCCAGCAGCAGGACATCGTACAGGTGTATTAGTCAGCAACTGACTTTGCGCAAACAAATATAACCCTGTCAGCTCTGGCATGATTTCAGATGTAGCTAGCCAGGGTTCAGTCCCCCCCAGTGGCTCCTTCCCAGGTGAGATTTGTCAGAAGAGATGGTCCATATGAGGATCTGAGCCGCAATGGAACTCTGAAAGTTGGGATGAGCTTTCGCCGCGAGGGCAGCTTTTAGCTCTTGAAAAGAAAAGGAGTACTTGTGGCACCTTAGAGACTAACCAATTTATTTGAGCATGAGCTTTCGTGAGCTACAGCTCACTTCATCAGATGCATACCGTGAACCACCACGGTATGCATCTGATGAAGTGAGCTGTAGCTCACGAAAGCTCATGCTCAAATAAATTGGTTAGTCTCTAAGGTGCCACAAGTACTCCTTTTCTTTTTGCGAATACAGACTAACACGGCTGTTACTCTGAAACCTGTCTTTTAGCTCTTGGTGATGGGGGTACTGTTACCACCATTAGTAGACATTGTGGCTCTCGGCTCCCCCTCGTGGTTAGTCCACATATAGCAGTTTATGAACCCCTATTTTAGGATTCTTTAGCTCAGGGTCTCTTAGCTCAAACTCCAGCCACCAGACAGGAGCACAGACCTGCTCTGTGTAAGCGTAGGGCACAATGGGGCAAGAATGGCTCGAACAAACTGGGTAGCAGCAGGCTTCTTCGTGGTTCTGCATGCATACAGAAATGGCAATGAGTACATCACCCATTAGGATGCAATAATCACCTGCAGGGCTTAGATCAGGTTTGCCAACATGGTTTTTGGCTCATGTAACGCAGCATTAGAGGTTATGTGACATATTGGGCCCTAAATTCCCAGCCATTTTAAGGCATATCCATGTCAGAAAATATCCAAGTTACAATTCAAACCATTTCATTTAGATTTTCTGGACAGCAATGAAGATTGTACCCTAAAGGGCTGATTGTCGGTGACACTCCATGGAATTGTGATTTTTATACTTACAAGGTATCTTCACATAAGCAAGGCATTTTAAAGTGCCCTTATAGAACTTAATAATCAGGCCAACATTTTCCAAAAGGAACTAGCCATTCTGGGGAGCCCAAGCCTTCAAAGAGAGCTGATTTTCACAGGTTGGGTGCTCTGCAGAAGGTGTTTTGAGTTGGGCTCCCAAAATCACAAGTCACTTCTGAAAATATAGTTAAATAACCATAAAACAAATGCTCAAAGGAAAAGCTCCTGGTGCCCCAACTTTCAATCACATAATGATGGCTGCCAAGCAGGACAATCACATAAAGAGAATGAATTAACTCACCCATATCAATCAATCGAACAAAGCAGCCCATTAGTCCCTGGCCTGAAAAGTACCTTCAATCTTCCCCACAGCAGTTCCCTAACTGTGTGTCTCGACCCCAGCCATCAGCAGATGGAGTTCCAGCAACCCATTTTGCTCCGCACAGCGTGACCTCACATGTATGACACATGCGAAATCATGAGGCACTGAGAATGCCATATTGCTCTACAATGTGCCATCCTCCACACAGCATGACTTTGCACATACCACACATATGAGGTCATTCAGCATGGAAGATGCCATTTGGTAGAGAAAACTGGCATCCTCTACGAGGCGTGATGTCGCATGCGCCATACACGTGAGGTCACACTGTGCTGAGGATGCCATTTCGCTCTCCAAAATGGTGTCCTCCATGCTATCTGGGGCCCCGAAAAGAAATAATTCATTACAATGGGGTCGTCCCAGTCAAAAGTGTGGGAACCCATGCCCTAAACTCTGATATAAAGTTTAGGGAAGACAACAACAAACAACCACGTTTTCCTCCCATGTGCTGAGGCCAAAAACTTTCTAGACATGCAGTAGGCTTTGCTCGCTACCAGGTGCGGGTGGAAAATATTTGTTGGTACAGGATTATTCAGTGCTGTAATGTAAATAATGGGGTGATGGGTGCACTAATCTGAAAATGTAAATGCCTCACTCTTGTTAGATTAGAGGGTGCAGGAGATTGCAAAAGTGCTGCCACCTCAGCCAATTATCAATATCAGACCAGAGTATTCCCGGGAACTCGTTAAAAAGAGGCAGAAGAAAGAAATGTCCCTAAAAAACCTGATCTACCTGTGCCAGATGTCGATGGCATATGCTGAGGTCAAATGCAGGCTGCAGTCGGGTGGCTTAGAGAGCAGATGTTTCAGCCAGATGTTCAGACCAGAGGCTGCGGCCAGATGTTTGAAGCTGAGACAGAAATCAGACACCGACACCAGGTATCAAGTCCAGATGCCGAAGGCAGGGAAAGGAGGCCAAGTGTTGAGTCCCGCTGTTGAAGCCAGAGACAAAACACTTAGGCCCCCCCGTGGACCCCAGGCTACCAGAGGCCAGACATGAAGCCTGGACGATGGAGGCCTGGTGCCGAGTCCAGTCATGGAGGTGGGTTTCTCTGGTGACCAAAGACCTTCCAATCCCATCACTCCTTGCTGCGGGAAGGGGGCTCAAACCCCCTCAGCCCCCAGGTTCAGAGGGTATTGTGACCCCTCCCCCTGAGAGCAGGGCAATGGGGGTGACACCCACCAATTCTGTCCACGCTGTGTGGGCGAGAGGACTAAAGGCAGGAAGCTGGTCCTTTAACCCCCACCCCAAGGCTGGGAGGGGAGCAGTGGGGAGGCAGCTGTTCCATTGCCCCTCCCCCTGAGACTTCTCCCTCCAGGCTGGAAGAAGCGAGCTGTTCCCTGGCGCCCCCCGGGCTACATGAGGAGACAGGAGAGGGTTGAAACGTCTGGAGGGGGCAGAAGGAGTCTGTTCTAATGCGTCCCCCATGCTAAGCCTCCCAATAGGCTGCCTGAAAGGGGGCGGGGCTGTTCCTTTGCCCCGCCCACTGAACGGTCCGGGGAGGAGCAGGAGGCCGTTCCATCGTCCTCCCCCCCCCCCCCGCCGTTGCTTCCTCTCCACGTCTCGCGCTGTCTCCTCCCCACCCCGCAGACTCGCAAACGCCCCCGGTTCTTCCCGCCTTTTCCAAAGC